GGTGTTATGGATCAGAATCTTGGGCCCAAGGAGTTAAGCAGTGTCCCGGGGAAGGCAGCCCCAGACTGAGGACCGTCTGGCGTGGCCACACCTCGCTGTCCAGATCATTTGTTCCTGCGTTGGAGTGGAGACTTCCCAACAGTAGCTCGGATTTCTCCGTCTCCAAGCAGCTCTGAGACTGCGGGTCACTTTGTTTTCTTGGTTGTAGTTGATTTTTATTTATTTATTTTTTGGTGGAGGGTTAGAGACAAGGTAGTATACTCTTATTATGCCTTTTGAAATCCTTGAATTGGTAGGTTTTGGATTAAAAAAGTGGAGGACGTTCCGCCCAACATTTTGAAGCAGTCTGTGCCCCAGCTGTTCCAGATTATTAAAGTGGGCAAGGAAATGTAGTTTTTGGTGAGTTGTGTGGAACTTTTCTGACTCAAAAAAAAAAAAAAAAAGGTTTATGTGCTTCAAAATAGAATGTGCTTTCTATTTCTGAAAAGCCGTTAGAATGCCCGGGCTATTTATTCCTGGGGAATTCGGGGTCCAGTGTGAAGAAACCGATGCCTGGTCCCACCTCAGGTTGGAGAGTGGCGTGTGGCTGGGGTCTGAACCGTGGGGTGTTATCAGGACCCTTTTTAGGGCAGTAATAATGCCTGTTCGTAGAGTGATAAATGGTACAAGCAGGTCACAAATGTCGTCTCCTGGCGCTCGGGGTTTCTTGCCACATTTTCTCTCTGCTCGCTTGGTACTTGCTTTTCAACCGGGCCCTTCTCCTGCCCTCTCTGTTCTCCAGTGGCCATTTGTACATTTTATTAACTGTTGAACTTTCCTTATTATTCACCGAACCTGTTGTTCATTTAGTGAGAAAATCACTCGTGTGAAGTAGTAGTTTAAGGTCGTGGGGGGAATGAGATGTCCTGTGGGGGGCAGTGACTTGTTGCTGATGGACCTCTGAGATTTCGCGGTGTCTTTCTTTGGATAAAGCATTGGAGCTATTGCTCTCGCCATGTTATTTTGCACTTATTTGGGGGGAGGTTCATAAGTGTTGTTTGATGTGTACGTGGACACAAGCAGTAAAAACTCAGTGAGTCTGTGAAGACCCTTCCGGGTACTGAAGGCCCCCCTTCTGTAGCTGTAAAGAGAGTAATCGATTAGGATGTGGGGGTCTATTACCTTTTTGGAGCCCCCTCCCCCCAAACTCCCTTCTTAAATCTTCCTGTAGTTGACCCTGCCGGTCATGAGAACTGATGAAGAGTTTTAAGCAGGAGAGTTTCATCTTCGGAAGTTCTTTGTGGGCTGTGGAGCTTGGACTGAGCAGAAAGGACCATGAGGGAATCAGTGGGGAGGCAGGCTCTATGGGAATCTAAGCAAGTGAGGTCAGGGCGGCGGAGATGCAGGGGAAGCTGACGATTCTCACAGGACATGGAGACACTGGCCCCTGACGATGAGGCTGGGCAGCGTCCGGATGGTTCCCATTCTGTATGTGGGCAGGTGTGGAAGGGGTCACTGCAGACCCGCAGTGTGACATCGGTGCCTGGCGCTGTGACAGCAGGGGCAGTACTTGGCATCCTGCACTCACTTCTCTGTCAGAGGACGCAGAGCAGCGGCCTCTGCCCTGACCACACCTCAAGGTTATGTTGGAGCCCATGAGGGCGTGTGACGATGTCATGACGTGGTAGTATGGTCCTCTGTACCCCACGGTTATAAATGTCAGGTAAAGCTGCTTTGGAAACATGGAGGCCTAGCTGTCATTTAAAATCGGCGACAAGCCTTTTAAGAAATGACTTGGGTCATTAGTGAGGAGGTGAACTTGTCAAACTCGAGCCTTTGTGTTTCAGAGTCTACCTCACCCTGGGACCTAGGGGCCTTTCTTGCCATTCAGGGGCAGTTTAACTCTAGATGAGCCTGGGTTTCCTCGAATCTTAAAAAATAGAAAATTGGGTTCTCTCTCCATACCAGCCAGGCACACTGTTCACACATTTCTTTCTTTTTAAAATTTATTGTAAGAGGTCTCAGCTGACTGTGTTTGGCTCATATTCTGTTGTTCCTGTTGGTACGTGGGAGTCTGTTTATTGAATTTATTATCAGCCACCACATCCGTATTTATTATCTGGACTCGAATGAGATGATTTCATCTCTGAAAATCTAACTGCCTCTGTTCTCTCCCTCGATAAATGATCTATAATTTGTCACCAGAGCATTTTTGTGTCTCAGTTTGGGTTGAAATCTGAAGGTGTGTATTCTGAAACTTTACATTAAGGTTAAGGAACATGATGCATCTGTTACTTCTGGATATGTGAGCTTGTGTGTTTGGCTTCTTTAAATTTATAGTGTTTCCAAGGCTTATCTGTGTTGTAGCATGAATTAGTACTTTATTTTATTTAAAAACAATTTTTTTCTTTATTGAATTTAGAGAGAGAGGAAGGGAGAAGGAGAGAGAGATGGAAACATTGAGGAGAGAGAACATCAATCGGCCGCCTCCTGCATGCCCCCCCACTGGAGATTAGATCCACAACCTGGGCATGTGCCCTGACTGGGAATCGAACCGGCGACCTCCTGGTACATGGCTCAGTGCTCAACCCTGAGCCACACTGACAGGGCTAGTATTTTATTTTTTTGTGGCGTATATTCCATTGTATGGATATACCACCTCTTGTTGACCCATCTCTCTGATGATTGACACTTGGGTTGTTTCCATGGTTAGGCTATTGTGAATATTGCTGCTATGTCTTTATGAGAGAACCTGTTTTTAATTCTTTAGGGCATATACCTAAGAGAGGAATCATTGGGTCATATGGTAATATCTCTTTTATGTTTTTAACCTTTTTTGGTTCAATATATTTCCAACACACACTGCAGACCCCCTTACATTTGAGAACAGTTATGTGGAACATAGGATCCTTTGCTCGATGTTCCTGGCAGTCGCCATGAATATAAATGATTACAAATTGCTGTAATATGGTACAGATGCTCTCAGGATGTTGGGGCTTTCCGTCTAGTGTTTCCTGCTTGCCTGGTTCTGCTGTGCTGCCCAGCCTTGCCAGTGAACGAGAGAGGACTCTGGCATTAGGTTGCCAGCATTCAAGTCTCACCTCTACCACTTACTGGCTCTGTGACCGTCCACGGAATTTTCTCTCTGTGCCTCGGTTTCCTCATCGGAAAAACGGGTAGTAATACTGTGGCCCTCCCAGGGTTACTGTGAGTGTTGAAGGGGATCAAGGCCCTCTGTACTAGTCTGCTCCGGCTGCCGTAACAAAGTAACAGACTGCGAGGCTTACACAGCAGGAGTTGGTTTTTCTCTCAGTTCCGGAGCCTACAAGCCCAAGGTCAAGTTATCTGGCAGGACTGATTACTTCCAAGGGCTCTCTCCTTCTGTGCTCTCTTTAGCGCCCTCATGTGGTCTTTATCTGTGCACAGACATCTCTGCTGTCTCTCTGTGTCCAAATTTCTTTTTCTTATAAGAACACCAGTCAGATTGGATTAGTGCCCACCCTAATGGTTAACATCTCTTTAAAGGCTGTATCCAATGGAGGGGCACAGTTCAGCCCATAACACCCCTAAAGCCCTTGCACAGCTCACAAGTGCCTTAAAAGCTGGCTGGCGGGTGGGCGGTGGTTGCAGGACTCTGCCTCCTCCTTCTCTTCGGGTCTGAGCCTGGAAACCAGACAACCAAACTTGCTAGCATCTTGCAGAAGTGCAAGTGGATATGTATTTCCATATGGAAGACACAAGGCCCTCCATTTGCATAACTCGGTGGCCTCTGTCTTGTTGCTCTGAAGATTTGGCTTAGTTTCTGGCCTGGCTTTTGTTCCAGAAAGGTAAGCTTGTCCGTCAGCTACGCTCCAGGTAAGCAGTGTGGTACCTCAGGAACCCTTTGAGATGACTGACTACCTAGGGTTTTCAAATGGCCTTGTTACCTTTAAATGTTGTGGTTGAATACACATAACATCAAATTTACCATTTTGACTCTTTTACGTGTATAACTCAGTGCATTAAATACATCTGCATTATAGGTGTGATCTTTATAAGTTATATAAATGTCTAATCATGGGGTTGTACATCAGAAACTAATATAGTACATCAACTATAATTGAAAAATAAAAAAATACATTTGCATTGTTTTGCAACCATAACCACTGTGTGTCTCCAGAAGTTCTCACCATCCCAACAAAACTCTGTACCCATTCGACAGTAACTGTCCATCCCTCCTCCTCCAGCCCCTCGGCCTCTCTGTTCTCTTTACTCCCACCTGCGGAGGACAGGGTTAGGAGGTCACGGGGACAGGGCTCCGGGCCGGGCCGCCTCACCCTCTTCTTTCTCTTGTTTTCCTTTGATAGCAAGTCCCCTTTGGAATGGTTTTATTCACTTGTCTAGAATGACAAGATTTTGTATCAAAAGTTACAGGAGATGCCCTGGCCGGTTTGGCTCAGCCATTAGAACGTCGGCCCGAGGACCAGAGAGAACTGGGTTCCGTCCCCACTAAGGGAACGTGCCTCGTCCCCACTAAGGGCACGTGCCTCGGTTGCAGTTTGTCCCCGGCCCTGGTTGGGGTCGTATGGGTGGCAACCACTCGATGTGTCTCTCTTGCATCGATGTTTCTTTCTCTCTATTCCTCCCTCTCTCCCTCCCACTCTATCTGAAGATAAATGCAAAAATGTCCTCAGGTGAGGATTTAAAAAAAAAGTTACAGGAAAAACGTATGCAGTGGGGAGCAGACGTCACCTTTCCCACACTTGGTGGACTCTGTTCAAGCCCAGGCTTCCCCAGCCTTTCATGTGGCAGCGACTCCCCTTCAGAGCGGAGCCATACTGAGCTGCCTGCAGATTCCCCAGCCCCAGCCCCAGCCCCTGCCCCTGCCCCAGCCCCAGCCCCTGCCCCAGCCCCAGCCCCATCCCCAGCCCCAGCCCCAGCCCCAGCCCCAGCCCCAGCCCCGGCGTGGGTGGAGGTTGCGATGCCTTCGCCCAGCTCCTCGGGGCAGTGCCGCGTGTAACTGGGTGTCCCTGTGCTTGCAGACCTACATCGGCTCCATCATCGCCTCGGTGAACCCGTACAAGCCCATCGCCGGCCTGTACGAGCACGCCACCATGGAGCGCTACAGCAAGGGCCACCTGGGGGAGCTGCCCCCCCACATTTTCGCTGTGGCCAACGAGTGCTACCGCTGCCTGTGGAAGCGTCACGACAACCAGTGCGTCCTCATCAGGTAACCGACCGACCACGCGGCTGCAGAGGGGACCTTTGGAGAGCCAGCCGTCCGCACCCATTGGGGTCTACCTGCAGCGCTTTCTCAGCCAGACCCCACCCTAACCTGCTGAGCACAGTCAGGAAAAAATTCCTCAGTGCCTGAATTTCTCAGATGAAGTTTTCCATTTTGAATGGCTTATAACTACAGCTTTAAGACAGGAGGAGCTCCCTTAGAATAGCAGCGTGTATGACGTTTGTTGACGTTTGTCCTTAGAATAATTACTCCATTTGTTTGTTTTTTTCTAATTTGCTTTAATTATTCTTCAGTTTATTCCAATTGTGAGGCTTGGTCTTCCTGTGGATTTAAGGACATGTTGCGTAGTTCCTTCAATTTAAAATGTTTGTTATTCTAGAGCGCTAGACAGAATGCTTGCATGTTTGGGCAGCCTTTTTTTTCTTGCATGTAATATTACTCTAGATGAAATCTTCAAAATTTGGAGACATTTTCGTGGTTTTACTTGGATGCTACTAAAGTGTACTTTTGACTTGGCTGTAGAAAAGGGATCGTTATTATATGTTAAGGAACTTATAGAAGGACATGCTTATTGTATTTCATTTCTTTTGGTGAGAGAGAAGGAGGCGTCTTGACATATCTATTTCAGCCGAGTCTTACTCATTTATTAAAATAAACCTCCAGCCCTGGCCAGTTTGGCTCAGCGGTTAGAGTGTCGGCCTGCGGTCCGGAGAGACCCGGGTTCGGTTCCCGCTAAGGGCACGTACCTCAGTTGCAGTTTGTCCCCGGCCCTGGTTGGGTTGTGCGGGTGGCAGCCACTCGATGTGTCCCTTCACGTCGATGTTTCTCTCTCTCTCCCTCCCACTCTATCTGTACAAAAAATGGAAAAATATCCTCGGGTGAGGATAAAAAATAAAAATTAAAAAAATAAAAAATAAACCTCCAGCCCTGGCTGGTTTGGTTCAGCGGTTAGAGCGTCGGCCTGCGGTCCCAAGAGACCCAGGTTCGGTTCCCGCTAAGGGCACGTACCTCAGTTGCAGTTTGTCCCCGGCCCTGGTTGGGTTGTGCGGGTGGCAGCCACTCTATGTGTCCCTTCATGTCGATGTTTCTCTCTCTCTCTCCCCCTCCCTCCCACGCTATCTGAACAAAATATCAAAAAAATGTCCTCGGGTGAGGATAAAAAAATAAATAAATAAATAAACCTCCAGAAGTCCCACTGTGGAAACCTAGATTACTAGGAACTGTCTAAAAAACCAATAGAATCTATTTCTTTAAAAACACTTCTTAGTTTTTATTAACTAATTCAAAGTGCCTCATCACCTATATTCTGGTGACATCTTATTGGATCTTACTAGTTGTTTATATGGGAATCCTGTTCTCGTTTAGATCAGAATGCCCTGGAAGGTATCCAAAGCAGGCGGGCTGGAGGTCACCTTCAGTGGTTTCTGTGGCGGCCCAGGCACTTCATTCATTCATCCTCCAGGCACTGGCTTATGGAGCGAGGCTGTCACTGAGAACCTGCGGTGTACAAACAGAACTGGGGGAGTGAAAGATTTTGACATTTCTTTTACATGGCTGTCTAGTCCCCACTTTTGGCAAAATAATTACATTGTTTCGAGAGGAAAGGGTGTTTGGATTGGGGAGGATAATGAATAAGGCCACACCTACCCTCTGGATTTTTGACTCAATGGAAGTCCAGGAAACAGATCGACAGTCATATGGCAGCTTTAGACTTTCAGCCAATTAGGATTGCTAGCACTGCAGCCCAGAATTGACAGACCCGCTTGGTCGCGGATACAGGCAGGTAACTGGTGGCCACAGTCCTATGGGAAACCAGTGCTAGATGGTGAGGAGCAGACCAACTTCCCCCCCAATTCACCTGTCAGAGGAGCTGCTCTTGTCCTGTGAAGATGGAGGGGTCATGGGGTTGTGGGGGGGCAGACATGTCAGAGGAAGCCCTTCATGGAAACCCCAGGGAGGGGAAATGGAGGGGCCCCCAGCCAAGGGCATTTGCAAGGTACTCGCCCTGCCTTGTGTGGTACCCAGTGGAAGGTACTAAGAAATAAAACAGCTGTCCTTTTCTGAAGGGTTAACTGTATTGGACACTGTGCCAAGAACTTCCCAGGCATCAACTTGTTGAAGCCTTCAGCAGCACTTTGATGTGGTCCTTCCATATGATACCTACACACACAAAACTACTGTCGGGGGTCGTGTTCTTCTTACTGGCAGTTTGTTCTTGGGTCCTTGCTTTTGTAACAAATCGGCATGATAGGAATATGAACACAAAACAGTGCCTTTCCCATATTCTCTCTGCCCACCTCTCTCTTCCTCTTTCTTTAAGGGGAGGGAAACATCTGGGCTGATACTCTTTTTTCCATCACCTTACTGGTGCCCATGTGCTGGGCTGTGCAAACCACTCAGATAGAAGGACTGCCATTTTATTCAGCTAAGTAAATAGGAATGATTATAACTTGCAGTTAATGTAAATAAAGCTACTTGCTTCATATAAAAACCAAGCTTTTGAGAGTCACATTCCCAGTGAAGTAACTTGCCTTATGACTAGAAGCACTATTTCTGGGTTCTTTCAGATGACTTCACTAAAGTTCAGAAGTTAGAATTTAAGATCACTATTTCAACATGCAGAATCTAGTGGAATAAGATGAACAGAAAGAAAGAGAACTTACTCTATTTTAAGAAGATTGAATTGATGACCACACTTAGGTACCTGAATATTTGTCATCAGTAATGGCTCGTGCTTATTACTTTAAGTGGAAAAAAATGAGAGGAGGAGTAATATATTACTTGCTAGACAAAGTAGCTTAGGAAGAAAGTGAAAAATCAAATGAGATCATTGTGCACGTGTGTGTGTGTGTGTGTGTGTGTGTGTAATAAAATGAAAAGAGTTGGCAGTCAGGTGGAGGAGGTGGGGGAGTGGATCCTAAGCAGAAAGCTCCCATTGTGTCATGCTAATGTGAAAAACGAACTGTATTTATCTAAATTAACTCAGGAAACAGTCTTTAAGAATAGATTTCTCATTAAAATGTGTTTTGGCTTTTAATAGCTCTCTGGCAGTTTTTTTTTTTTTTTTAAAGTGGAGGTTGGGGCTGTGGGAATTAAGAGAAAATTGAGTACAAAAATAAAAATTGCAGGATACAAAGCCTTATTTAGATTTCCTCAGGCATTGTCTGCCCCCTGGTGGCCGAAACATCTCATGCTGATATCTTTTAAATCAGAAAATAAGCCTGTTTGGAACTAGACAAGACTTCATAGATACATTTTTCTTTCACTTTAAGCGCCCACATCACTTGGCCAAGGTCCCCGGCTAGTTGCTGTTGGTGCCACTCTCGGCTTTTATGCCAAGCCTCTTTTGTTGGCCTCACTTTCAAGGTTGTTGACCTCTCTCGAGCTTGTGCACATTTAAGTGAAGAATTCTTATGCTATTATTGTTTTAAAAATATAAATGTATACATTTAGAACTTATTTAAGAATTCTTTTCCATCTAACTGACCAGGTCAGCATTTGATCTTGGTTAATCTAGTACATTCTGTATTGACTTCAGTTTTTCATACATTCTACTGAGCAGGCAGAGTTTAGTATATGTGAAGTTTTAAGATACACCCTGAAGGCAAGGTCTGTGGCTAATTCACCTGTGCCCAGGACAGTGTCTGGCAGAGGGCCAGCCTTCAACAGTTGTCAATCAAAGGATGAACAGAAGGAGCGACTGTTGGCTTAGCTCTCTGCTTCCTTTGCATATTTTGGTTTTCCAAAACCAAAGTGATTTCTTCTTACCTATATTGTTTATATCCTGGAATGATAATAAGGTGTTCTGTATTTTTCTTTTTCTCGTAATGTATTTAGAAATGATTGAATTGGAACAGTGAACGAAACTTGCATCCTGGCTTAGGAAGGTACCAACAAAAATAAGGCATAGGGCACGTCTCAGGCTCACGTAATATGTAGGTTACTATGCGAGGCTTTGGGGGTTTTAAAAAAGACCCAATCACTGCCTTTCAGGAGCCTCTACTCTGACGGGAAGAAACTGGTGTAAATAATTTCAGTTCAGCCTGCCAGATGTTGTAAGAGAAATAATGCATGGCTGGTCAGAGAAGGTGGCAGTAGATACTCAAGAAGGAGCCAAGGGAATATTTCATAGAGAAAGTGGCATGTGATTATGTAGGAGTTTTGCCGGCATAGTTGGGAGGAAGGGCACAGAAGCATTTGCAAAAACATAGCTATTTGGCAAAGCAAGAAGAATTAGGAAATGGACTCTGGCAGTAAGGCTGTGGGGCTGGCTGAGGGGCGTGAGGGAGCTGGGCAAAGAGTGGAAGGGAGCTGACTTTTATTGAGGAGACAGGTTTGTGTGTCATCCTCAGAGCACCCCGAGAGCTGCTATGAACAGCCGACACAGGCTTTGAACTTGAGTCTCGCTGTGTTCATGTCAGAACAGAATCCTAATTCCTGGAACAGGGTCGAACTTTAAGGATTTTGTCCTGTTTGCTGAGCCCTTTGGACTAAATCCTCTAGACCAGCGGGTCTCAACCTTCCTAATGCTGTGACCCTTTAATACAGTTCCTCATGTTCTATGTGGGCGTATCTGCATGTGGGCAGACCCTCCTGGAGATGGATAGAGGAGCGGTGTCTCAGTTCCTAAGACCATCAGAAATATGTGTTTTCTGATGGTCTTAGGCAACCCCTGTAAAAGGGTCGTTCAACCCCCAAAGGGGTTGCAACCCACGGGTTGAGAACCGCTACTCTAGACAGTAGAGATGTTTCCCTGGTCTTCTCCAAGCAAGGAATTGATTGATGTATCATGTGAACCAGAGGGATTTGATCGACAGGATGCAGATGTGTCAGGTGTCAGCAAAGGGCCAAGGTGTATGCATATATTAGAGGCTCTGTGGGTGAGACCACTTTTGTCACAACCACTCAACTCTGCCCTTGGAGCGTGAAAGCGTTTATAGACAGTACACAAATGAACAGCCAGGCTGTGTTCCGATAAAAGTTTA